AGATGGATCCATGAGACTTTGCATCGACTACAGACAGTTGAACAAAGCCACAGTGAAGAATCGTTATCCATTGCCTCGCATCGACGACCTGTTTGACCAGCTCAGAGGAGCTACAGTATTCTCAAAGATTGATCTGCGTTCTGGATACCATCAGATTTCCGTTAAGAGAGAAGACATTCCGAAGACTGCTTTTAGAACATGCTATGGGCATTATGAGTTCTCAGTCATGCCTTTCGGATTAACTAATGCCCCGGCAGTGTTCATGGAGCTTATGAACAGTGTGTTCCGACCATACTTGGACCAGTTTGTAGTAGTGTTCATCGATGACATCTTGGTTTATTCACGGACTCAGGAGGAGCATGCTAAACATTTGCAATTGGTTTTGAGTGTGTTGAGAGAACACAAGCTGTATGCAAAATTGTCTAAGTGTGAATTCTGGTTGAGTGAGGTGACATTCTTAGGACACGTTATCTCTGCCACCGGTATCCAGGTAGACCCCAGCAAGATTTCAGCCATAGTGGATTGGAAGACTCCGCGGAATGTTCGTGAGGTGAGGAGCTTCCTTGGGTTAGCCGGTTACTATCGTCGATTTGTTAAGGGCTTCGCTTCGATCGCTACTCCATTGAACAAGCTACTGCGTAAGGACATCAAATTTGAGTGGACAGAAGCGTGCTAGCGCAGTTTTGATCAACTGAAGGAGTGCCTGACCCAAGCACCGGTCTTGATTCAACCTACTCCTGGCATCGAGTATACCATCTATAGTGACGCATCTCATAGCGGCTTAGGTTGTGTACTGATGCAGTTGAGTAAGGTAGTGGCCTACGCATCGAGACAGTTGAAGACTCACGAGGAGAACTACCCGACACATGATTTGGAGTTGGCAGCCGTGGTGTTTGCCTTGAAGATTTGGCGCCATTACATCTTTGGAGAGAGGATTCACATCTTCACCGATCACAAGAGTTTGAGGTACCTACTCACCCAGAAGGAACTGAATCTTAGACAACGCCGATGGTTGGAGCTGATCAAGGATTACGATTTAGTCATTGAGTATCACCCGGGCAAGGCTAACATCGTGGCCGATGCTTTGAGCAGAAAATCGTTAGCCGAGCTACAGCTTCAGTCTCCGTTAGAGCAGGAGATCCGTACAGCACAGAGAGGTGATGAGTTTTGTCAGAAGACTCGAGAGTTAGTTCCTGCAGGAAAGAGGCCCGAGTTTGCAATTCGCGATGACGGAGTATTGTACTATCGTGAACGCCTAGTGGTGCCCCGCGGTGGAGTGAGGGATCGCTTGTTGCGCGAGGCCCACGGAACCGTATACACTATGCACCCGGGTAGTAACAAGATGTATCAGGATTTGAAGAAATCCTATTGGTGGCCAGCTATGAAAAAGGAAATCTCCGAGTTCACTGCGCGCTGTTTGACTTGTCAGCAAGTCAAGGCTGAGCACCAGGTTCCGACAGGGTTGCTGCACCCTCCTACCATTCCGGAATGGAAGTGGGAAAGGATCACTATGGACTTTGTGAT